ACCCCCCCCCCCCCACAGAAAATCCAGCCCTAGGGATATTCTCCCATTTGCTTCCACATCTCTTTCATATGAGGATGCTGGAAAGAGTCACCCTGCTGTAGAGAGGGTGGTGTGGCAAAGGTACAGTCTCTGGCCTCAGCAAAGATCCTCAGGGCAGCTCTGTAATGGCCCAAGACCCTCAGTTCCTGTCCTCTCCCCTTGTGGCTTCTCCTACTCCAGCCACTGGGATTATCAGTGGGTTCTCTCATCTGCTACTTCATAGAGAAATGTTAAGACCCAGAGAGTTCCTCTCACTAACCTCTCAAACTTACTTTTTCTTGTCACTTTTGGTCTGTAGCTTATTCTTTCTGCTGTGTTCTGGTTTAGTTTGCTTTTTTGCTCAAAATTGTTGCCTCATCCATTATCCCTTCTTTTTCCACAACCTTAAATTTCTTCCTCACTAAAGATGACTTTTATTATTTTAGAAAAATGTCAGATCTATGTTCTTGCAAATAAGACAAAAAACAAAGAAACCCAAATAAACGAATAACAATGCCCTTAGTTCTGCTGTGTCCCAGAATGCTCTTATTTCCTGTTGTGATTTTAAGGGCCCATTAAATGATGTTCTCATATTTTTCCCTTGAGTTTTCAACTGGCTGAGTCAACAAATCAGATATGAGCATTGGATTTGTTCTAGATAGAGCTTTGTGGGAATAGGAAGGAAACCGCAATGGGGAAGGGGAAAGGATGGATCTTCTTGTTTTGGGTATCTATCCTCCTGGTTCTTCTACTCCCCCAGAAGAACCAGAGGAGTGGGGAATGAGTCCTCTCCCTGTCAACTGCCTTGTGTTACTGGCCAGCCTTGGTAAGAAGGCAGCAGTCTTCACTCACCACCTGGCATTTCTGGTCTTCCCTGCTCTGCACATCCTACTCTCCCTAATCCCACAGCATATAGTTATAGCAGCCAAGGACTGATTTCCACCTTTGACCTTCCCTATCTTCTTGGAAGGGTTAACATCATTGCCTCAAAGCTTTCTCAGAAAGTTTGCACTGCACCAGACTTAACTGATTCACCCTTTAGCTTAAGCATCTCCTCAGTCCCTGACTCCTTTCCTTCAGCTGGTCTTTCCACCTTGTTGATCCCTGGGGAGCCCGTCATCCTCCATCCCGTCCTCCTCCCTACTCTTCTCAGTCCACATGTTCTTCTCGAATTCCCATCTGTTCCAAAGTTTTAACCATCCTACCCCACACTGTACACCAGCCCACTGAGGACCATTCATAGATCTGGTCTCAACTGTGATTTAGTCTAGATCTGCAAGCGTCAACTCTAGCTGGATGCTTCCAGGAACACGTCAGGCTCACTGTATTTCATTCATGATCTCCTCTTTGTTTTCCAGTGTTGGGTATGGACTCATTATTAGTTTGCTAGGGCTACCATGACAAACTACCACAGACTGAGTGCTTGAACAACAGACATTTATTGACTCAATGTCTTGGAGGCTGGAAGTCCAACATCAATGTCAGTAGGACTGGTTTGTCTCTTTGGCTTATACACGACCATCTTCTCCCTGTGTCTTCACATGGTCTTTTCTCTGTATGTGCCTGTTTCCTAATCTCCACTTCCTGTAAGGACAACATTTATATTGGGTTGAGGCCCACCCTAATGCACTAATTTTAGCCTAATTACCTGTTTAAAGACCCAATCTCCAGGTACTGTTATGTTCTGGAGTATTGGAGATTGAGACCTTAATATATAAATCTATGGGACACAGTGCAAACCAGAACAAACTTCATGATCCAGCCATTCATCTGAGCCAGATGCCTGCACATTTCGTACAGTTTCTACCTCTTCCCAGACCCACCTAATCCCAGGTCCTGCCAAGCCTACTTTTACAATGACTCCCAGACCTAAGTCCTTCTTCCCATTTCCCCTTCTTCTGTGATTGTTTAGGGTTTCCTCATGTTTCATCTGAAATGCTGCACTAGCCCTTCTCTGACCCACTTCCCACGGAGTAACGAGGATGATCTTTCAAAATTGTAAATCAGATTGACTCACTCCAGGCTTAAACTCCATTCAATACCTTCCCTTTACTTGGAGAAGAAGATGCCTGCTCCTTTCTGTGGCCCATATTGGCCATATGTGGCTTACTTTGTGGCTTCTGGGACTATATCTCTTTTCCCTCCTACACACGTTCCTACCTCAGCCAAGATGAGCCCCGGTGTCCCCCCATGACCCAACTCCTCTCCTGCTCTGGTCCGCCCCCAGCTGCTCCTTCCCCTGTATGCTCCTCCCCAGATCCCTAGGAAGCTGCCTCCTTCAGGGGTCCGGTCCCAGCTCCCATGTCTCCTCTT